GAAAGCAGAGTTAATGTTTTGGGCCCAGTGACACTTCAAAATATCTCTCCACAGTGCTGCCTCACTTGCTGAAATTTTCCAGTATTTTCTGTTTGTGTTTCTGATTTCCAGCATCTGCATTTCTTTGTGTTGTTTCTTGTTTGGTATAGAATGATGGATCACTAACCCAACATGGAAGTTGATTGATGGACGTAAGCTGGCAAAGAGCAAGAAGGACTGGGGGGGAGCTTTGAATGATGACCATGGAAAGTACAGGAGTGTGAACAAAGCTTTGAAGAAGAGCTGCAAAACAGATAAATATGGATGGATTGAGTTAAAAGGCATGGAGGAATGAGACAGCAAATTGGAATGGCTGCAGTACTTTATAGGATTGCTGGTGCCAGAAGCAATACCGATGTAACAGTCAAGGATAAGGACGGCAGGACTTGATTTTCAGATGAAGAGAATAGAACATTTTTGGGACAGCCTCAATGAGCCCAACATCAATTCTACATTTGAGTTTGATGGCAGACTCACACCTCAGCAACTGAAAATCACTTGGGAGAAGTTGCCACCTTAGAGATCCAAAGAGCCATCAAGAGCCTGAAGAACAATGATGCACCTGGGATGGATGAGATTCCAGCAGAGATGTAGATACTTGGTAAAAACATTGTTACAGCAGAGCTCATGAAACTGATTAGCAATCTCTTGTCTGCATCCCGGATGAATGGAGACAAGGTATGATCCTCAAGCTGCCAAAGAAAGGGACCCTTAGCAACTGTAACAACTGGAGGAGCATAATGCTTGTCAAAAGATTCAGAACTAACATGACACCAGATTATAGTCAAGCAGGTTTATTTGAAATTGCAAGCTTTCAGAGCGCTGCTCCTTCGTCACTTCACCTGACAAAGGAGCAGGAATCTGAAAACTTGTGATTTCAAATTAAACCTGTTAAATTAGAACCTGGTGTCGTGTGACTTCTGACTTTGTCTGCCCCAGTCCAACACCGGCACCTCCAATCCTCAACAGATTGACAGAAAAGTAGACAGTTCTTCTCTTTTGTGAAGAACAGTCAAGTTTCTGGGTTGGCAGGTCATACTGCAAGTAGATCTTTGCAATCAGGGACATTAGAAGCAGAGCCTGGAATATCAGTATTCAAAGTCAATGATTTCAAGAAGGTTTTAATAACATCAGTCACCAATCACTGTGGTATATTACAATATGATATAGCACCACTCAGTGCATGCTAACATCTTCAAAACCTTATAGTGCATTTTTAGTGCTGCATGAAGAATAGCACAGGGACTACAGACTTCTTGCAGATTATCACAGAAGTACAGCTAATTTGCATACTCATCCTTTTCTCTTGGTTGTTGATTTTATAATGGGGATCATAATGATGGGTACAAACTATGGTATCCAGTATATATCACAGATTACATTGTCTAGCTAGCTGAGGAACTGTGCATACTCCAAAACACCGTGACCAGTCTTGAACTCAGTAGCACCAAGATTGGTCTGTTTATTAGCTGTGATAACATGAGGACACTGACGACTGGCTGGCAGCAAGGCCCTCCTGCCACTTACAGGCAATCAAACAATAAAGACGTCAATCATTTCGTTATCTAGAAAGCAACTGCTCCAGGGAGAACCTTGTACAAATCAATGTTCATACAAGAATCGGCTAAGCAAAATCAGCCTTCCAGCGGTTCCATCTGATCTGGGCATCCAATACTATCAACATGGCCATGAACTGTGACTACATGTTTATATTAGGACGAACTGCAACCTGTGTCAGTGAGACATGGAAGAGAGCAACAAAAATGTTGTGCAAGTTGGTAATCATTCAACAGGCTGCCTGTGTAAAATCTTGAAATCACATGGAGAGATAAGCAAGAGCTGCTACAGAAAGACATCTGTGAGAGAATTGAGATTGGCAGCACATATGCTTTGCCTTCCTGGAGTATATCCCACCAGAGGAACAGTAGAAGGACACCACCAGATATCAAAAGAAGGCTGGGCCATCCAAAAAAGGCCTGATGAAATATTTTTGAGGAGGAACTTCAAAAATGATGTAATCTGAGCAGAAGTGAAAGAGATTGCAATGGACCAAACCCAGTGGTGGAATCTTGTTGCCCATAGTTCCTGTGTTACTGTGTGAGGCAAAGTCTGTATAAGCCAAAGACTACTTTTCATTCTGGGAATTACCAGTCCAATTTGTAATTTTCCCCTATTTGTCCTGAACCCCTCATGTCCTATCTTATTGGCAATGCTCAGAACTTGGCTTATTGCTTTTCTTTCAATGTTACTTGCGTGGAGCTCCGTGATGTGATAAGTTGAACCTACTTCCCTAATCTGTGGAACTGTGTTTGGTGCACAACAGTAATAAAAACAGAAATTGCTGAAAAAACTCAGCAGGTCTGGCAGCATCTGTGGAGAGAAACCAGAGTTAATGTTTTGGGTCTGAAGAAGGGTCACTGGACCTGAAATGTTAACATTGGTTTCTCTCCACAGATGCTGCCAGACCTGCTGAGTTTTTCCAACAATTTCTGTTCTTGTTTCTTACTTCTAGCATCCGCAGTTCTCTCTGTTTTTAACTCAGTGACAACAGCTGCTTTAAATGGGTAGGAAAGTGAGAAAATATCAGTCGTCACATCATAATGCAAAAGTGACTGCAAGCAGTCATGGTGGCGAGCACTTTCAATTGTAGCAATTTTAACAGCACCTCCTGGTTATTATTAGATTTTACCTTTTTCTCTCTTTTATGTAAGTGCATATATGTTGAATCTATTGGTGTATTTCTCTTGGACAAAAGCAAGAGTGGAGGTTAATAGTAGAAAGAGGAAGTGTGGACTAATTTTAGCACCAGATCTGGTAAATATGGGAACGTATGCTTTCAGCTTGATCATTTTCGCCCTAACCTAAGTACTTAATTGGGTAAGGCTGGACAGTATTAATCGTGCATTTCCTATCTACATATTTCAACAAAGAGAAAGAACTTGTTCAGCTGTAACATAATTATTCAGAAAACATTTGACTGTCAATATCTTGCAACGTAACTGGCTATTGCAGAGGATATTTGGGTGCTGCTTAAACTCTGAAATAAAACATTGTTATTCACACTGTGAAACAGAAATATTGAAGAGGTTTGGTAATAACAAAACAAAACAAAGTTGCTGGAAAAGTTCAGCAGGTCTGGCAGCATCTGTAAAGGAAAAAAGTTAACGTTTCGGGTCTGGTGACCCTTCCTCAGAACTGACGGTGACTCGGAAAATGTCAGTTTATGTGCAGAGAAAAGGGGAGGTGGATGGGGCAGGGAGTAAACAATAGGATAGAGCCTAAAGAGAGAGAAGAGCAATTGGACAGACAGAGTTGATAACAATCAGTTTGGGAGGGTGAATAGTTGTTAATGGGGACTATTAGTGACTAATAACAGGTGGTGTGTAATAGCAGGCTGTGTGGTAACAAGGCCTAGTGTTTGGGGTGGGGGGCTGGGACATGGGAGAGTGTCGGCCCTAAAATTATTGAACTCTATATTCAGTCCAGAGGGCTGCAGGGTCCCTAAGTGGAAAATGAGGTGTTGTTCTTGTGTTGAGCTTCGCTAGAACACTGCAGCAAGCCAGAGACGGACATGTTGGCCAGGGAGCAGGGTAGTGCGTTAAAGTGGCATGCAACGGGTAGTTCAGGGTCTTTTTGTGAGCAGAACGTAGATGTTCTGTGAAGCGGTCGCCCAGTCTAGGCTTCGTTTCCCCAGTGTAGAGGAGACCACTAGGCCTTGTTACCACATAGCCTGCCATTACACACTACCTGTTAGTAGTCACTAATAGTCTCCATTTAACAACTGTTCACCCTCCCAGCCTAATCGTTATCAACTCTTTGTCCAACTGCTCTTCTCTGTCTTTCGGCTCTATCCTATTGTCTACTCCCTACTCCATCCCCCTTCCCTTTTTTCTGCATATAAACTAACATTTTCCCAGCCACCATCGGTTCAGAGGAAGGGTCACTGGATCTGAAAAGTTAACTTTTTTTTTCCTTCACAGGTGCTGCCAGACCTGCTGAGCATTTCCAGCAACTTTGGTTTTGTTCCTGATTTACAGCATCCGCAGTTCTTTTGGTTTTTATTTGGTAGAAAGAGACTTATTTGATGCATCACATTTCATGATTAGGACATGACTTTGAATGTAACCACGATTGTTGCTTTAATGTGCAGATATTTGACAGATGAAAGTGAAGGCATGTGAATACTCTCATTTCTACTGATAAGTGATGTGGAGTACAACATTAGTAAATAGTTCATGAAATCATAAATGTTGGTAACATTCAAAATAAAAACTTTCCCTGTCTTAGCTAGCCATTCTCTATGAAATTAGTTTTGACAGTGTCAACTTGGTATCTCAGTGGGTGAAATTCCACAGCAGAATAATTCTCATGGTTTGGCATAAATTTGGCAATCTTTAATTTAGAGCAGAATGTGTGAAAAATGGAGGAAACAAAATGAAGACAGTCGTCAAGGATCATCACGTGAGTGGGTTGACCTGATGAGTAATTGAGAGTTTATAATTGCCATTTGTGAGATTAGAGTGGTTCCTAAAAGGTCAACTAAAACATTTGAAAAGTTAGTTCCGAAAGTACCTGTTAAATCTTGAAAATGTCAGTGCTTCTCCAGTTCTTCTTCTCCTCCCCTACAATTTTGTTTTTATTTTTGCTAAGTACAATACTTCGCAAAGTACCTGAACAAGATCAAATACACTACAGCATTAAACTGGTTATGGGATTGAATCCCTGGGTGTGATTCTGTTTGCCACTGTGGTTGAAGAATGGCAATTCTGTCATTGATCATTGTGAGGCATGAGCGTTGCTTTACAAATTACAGTCTGACTATTTCTCCAAGGACTGCATATCTTGTGGATACAAGACGTTGCCTTTTGTGGTTGGTATTGATGTAGAAGACAGTTAGTTAGATATTAGTTGTAACAAGTAAGCTGTACTTATTGTGCCATATGTTTCTGTTCCATAGCCATGGTCGTCATTGCTCAGGAACTGGAACTCATTAGCTGTTACTCACCCAGGATACATGGCCTTCTTAACCTATGATGAGGTAAAAGCAAGACTCCAGAAATTCATCCACAAACCTGGGAGGTAAGGAAATTAAGAGCTACATTGTCACTATGGGGGTGGGTCGAGTAGAAAGAGGGAATCAGATTTTTGCAGCGTGACTTAATTAACAAGTTATTTTTCTTTGGCAAATTTCTGCTTCCTGTAACTGAATGGGAGATTTTTTTAAATGAGGAGAAAAGAAAAATATTTCCTTAAATCTGCTTTTATGAGATGGGTGGAATTATTCAATGGTAGGATCCTGCATGGTGAATTTTTCATCTTGGCTATTGTTAATTGAAAGCATTCAAAAATGCCAGAAGGAGAACATTCAACTCATGATGTGGGTTGCTTTTCAGACTGGAGGCCTGTGACCAGCGGTTTGCCATAAGAATCGGTGCTGGGTCCACTGCTTTTTGTCATGTATATAAATGATTTGGATGTGAACATAGGAGGTATGGTTAGTAAGTTTGCAGGTGACCCTAAATTGGAGGTGTAGTGGACAGTGAAGCAGGTTACCTCAGAGTACAACAGGATCTTAATCAGATGGGCCAATGGACTGAGGAGTGGCAGATGGAGTTTAATTTAAATAAGTGTGAGGTGCTGCATTTTGGAAAGGCAAATCAGGGCAGGACTAATACACTTAATGGCAAGATTCTGGTGAGTGTTACTGAAAAAGAGACCTTGGAGTGCATGTTCATAGTTCCTTAAAGATGGAGTCACAGGTAGATAGGATAGTGAAGAAGGCGTTTGGTATGCTTGCCTTTATTGGTCAGTGCATTGAGTATAACAGTTGGGAGGTCATGTTGCAGCTGTACAGGACATTGGTTCAGCCACTTTTGGAGTATTGTGTGCAATTCTTGTCTCCCTCCTAAAGGAAGGAAGTTGTGAAAATTGAAAGGGTTCAGAAAAGATCCACAAGGTTGTTGCCAGGGTTGGAGGGTTTGAGCTATAGGGAGAGGCTGAATAGGCTGGGGCTATTTTCCTTGGAGCGTTGGAGGCCGAGGAGTGACTTTAGAGGTTTATAAAGTTATGAGGGGCATGGACAGGGTAAATAGACAAGGTCTTTTCCCTGGGGTGGTAGAATCCAAAACTAAAAGGCATAGGTTTGAGGTGGGAAGGGAAAGGTTTAAAAGGGACCCAAGAAGCAACATTTTCATGCGATGGATGATGCGAGTATGGAATGAGCTGCCACAGGAAGTGGTGGAGTCTGGTATGATTACAACACTTAAGAGGCATCTGGAGGGTATATGAATAGGAAAGGGTTAGGCGGATACGGGCCAAATGCTGGCAAATGGGACTGGATTATGTAGGGTATCTCGTTAGCATGGACGAGTTGGACTGAAGGGTCTGGATCCTGCTGTATGACTCTGTCAGATAGTTGTGATTGAATCTACTTCCACTGTACTCTTGGTGCTGTCAAGATCCTTACCACTGTTGTAAAAATGCTTCACCTTGCTTTTTTTTTGCCAGTCACCTTCATCAGTGTCCTATGCTTCCTGACCATTCTGCCAAAGGGAATGTTTTCTCTCTATCTACTCTTTCTAGACGACTCAGTATTTTGACAAGCTTTGCTTAAATCATCTCAATCTTTTCTCTTTCGAGAGCACCAACCCTAGATTGTACATTTGTCTACGCAACTGAAATCTCTCAATTTTGGAGCTGATAAATTTTGACTGTATTTTTTTTACATTACATCCTTCCTCAAATGTGTCCACAATTAATCGCAATGCTCCAGTTGAGAGAATTTTTGTTTCAAAAAGGTTCATTATAACTTGGTTGACTTTGTACCAAATGCTTGTACTAAATCTCAATATTTCAACCATCTTCTCAACCTGCCTTACTATCTTCAATAATTTGTATAAATTCTCCCAGATGTTTATGTTCCTTCACTCGTTTTCCAATTGTACTCTCTATTTTAAAGTTTCTTCTGGGTGTTCAAGTTTCTTCCCATAGTCCAAAGATGTAGAGGTTACGTGGATTGGCAATGCTGAAATTTTTTTGTATAGCTTGGTGGCTCAGTGGTTAGCGCTGCTGCCTCACAGTGCCAGGGACCTGGGTTCGATTCCACCCTCGGGTGACTGTCTGTGTGGAGTTTGCACATTCTCCCTGTGTCTGCGTGGGTTTCCTCCGGGTGCTTCAGTTTCCTCCCACAGTCCAAAAATGTGCAAGCTAGGTGGATAGGCCATGCTAAATTGCTCGTATTCAGGGATGTGTAGATTAGGTGGGTTATGAGGGATGGGTCTGGGTGGGATGCTGTGAGGGGCAGTGTGGACTTGTTGGGCCGAAGGGCATGTTTCCACACTGTAGGGATTCTATTGTTCTGGGATGTGCAGCTAGTTGGGTTAGCCGTGGTAAACATGGGGTTCTGGGATACGGTTGGGGTCTGGGCAGGATGTTCTTCGGATGGTCGGTGTGACCCGATGGGCCAAATGGCCTCTTTCTGAACTACAGGGATACTAGGTTCTATGATTATACAGCTTCTCTTTATATTTCCCACCAAAATCTATCATTTCACAATTCTCTACAATAAAATCAATGTTATTTATCTGCCCATTCAACCAGTCAGTAGATTTCCTCTTAAGTTTATCACTATTGTCTTTATAGTTTCCAGTGTTTTTATATTCTACAAATTCTTTGCAACAATCTGCAATTTTTGTAGTCATGCCATGTATCCCCAAGTTTAGATCATTAAAATCTTTCTAGAAAAGCAGTGGTCTTCGTACTGAACCCAGGTACAACCATATCATCTTGCATTCCAAAAAATACCTTTTCACTGCTACTGTTTCTTGGCACTTAGCCAACCTTTTGTTCATTTTGTGACTTTCCCCACTATTCCAGTGCCTTCAAATCTATGGTGTGGGACGTTATGAAATGCCTTTTGCAAGTTCATATAAACCACATGAAGCACATAACCCTCATCAATCCTCTCTGTTACATCCAGAAAATCTCAAATAAGTTAGTTAAACATCACTTGCTTGAAGAAATCCATACTGATTTTTCTTTATAAGTTGGCAGTTGGCCAAGCAGCTGTTAATTTTTTTCCTGGCTTATTGTTTCTAAAAGTTCTCCCACAATTGAAGTTAAACTAATTGACCTTGCTCGATCACCAGCACAACAAATGATTTTTACAAGATGTACTGTAGCGATTCACCAAGACATTTGCAAATTTGAAATATTTACTGCCTGAAGGACAAGAGTACAGGCCCATGATGAAACCACCAAACTCCCTTCCAAGTTACCTGTCCATCCTGATTTGGAAATATGTTGCTGTACCTTCATTGTTGACGGATCAAAATCTTGGAACTCGCTGTATAACAGCAATGTGAGATGATTTTCACCATGCAATCTGTAGCAGTTCAGGAAGGCTCCAACACCACTTCTCAGGGCATTTAGGCTTAGACAATAAACCTCGACTTTCCAGGATATCCTGTGAATATTCAAAAAATTTAGTTCAATGTGATTCTTCTGTATCCAATGTGAATTACCTAATAAGTAGATTGCTCAAAAATTGCATGAAACATGCTTGGCCATTTAGATTTTAAATAATGGCTGTTTTAATAATGGATGCCGGGAATGTAATAGCATTAATGGTAGGAAATAATGATGTATTCTATTATTTGCATATGCCAGGATTGACTATGTCACCATAATCAATGTCATTGCTACTTCTAATGACTATCCCAGTAAATCCATTGCAGAGGTCAGAGAGATATTCCCAAAGGTGAGGGAAGAAGCAGCAAATCTTTCTAACAATTAAATTCTCTGTTGTGTGAAAATTTGACACTTAAAATATCCATATAATTTCAAAATATACTTTAGAACAGCCTTCACAGAGGAGTATACACCACCAATCAGCTTATTTTTTTGCTAAGAAATGGGTAATGCGATTGATCTTGCTTGCTCAACATCTTCATTGTGAAGCAGTTATTGTACTAAAACCAGCATCATTTCAGAACATCCGAATCGCTACTTTTATTCACAGAATGAAACAGTAGCGACATTAAGTTAATGAAAAGTCATGGATTAATGTTAGTTTTATTTCACTCACCAGCAAGACTGCCAGGTAGTGATGTTTTGGCTTTGGGATAATGCTTTTATTGGTGTGATGCTTCTTTTCTTTTATTGCAGTGCCTTATTTTGTGATGGAGATGCATAGATAATGAATTCTTATTGTAGGAAATCCTTCACACATTTTACTGAATGAAAACATTTATTTTCATTGCATTAGTTTGGGAAAAGTTGTTTCAAGAGATTAATACAATATGTTAGCAAGGCTAAAATCCCCACAGGCCGCAATTACAAAACTTAACTGGCACAAATCAATATGAGAGTAGTTTATGGTATGTTTCACACTTTAAGATGTGCTCATTCACCACATAGATTGGTATTAACGTGCGGATACCCTCAGTGTACCTATTCCTATCCATAATCTCAAATATTTCATGGCAGTGAAGTGATCAAATGGTTATAACTTAATAGATCACCACATACTAGATGTACCATCAGCAAGATGCTCCGCCATGACTTCTGCTGGAAGAAATACAACAACCTGAAAGTTTTCCCCCAAGGCTTACACCATCTTGCTTGGTACGTCATTCTTTCACTGTCACTGGAAACTCCATTCCTAGTAGAGTGAACTGTAGAAATTCAAGAAGGTGATTTACCATCACCACCTCAAAACAAATAGGCAATAAATATTGGTTATTTGTCAGTGACACACTAACCTGAGGAATGAATTAAAAGAATGAACTTCCAAATCTGACCTGCCAAAACATCTGTAGTTATACTACAATTCATCAAATATAACTTCCATTTTTTTTCAGCTACATATTCCGGTTGAGCTGCACCAGGCTTGGCCAATGGGCAATTGGTTATGTCACAGCCGACGGCAACATTCTTCAAACAATCCCCCATAACAAACCTCTCTTCCAGGCTCTGATTGATGGATTCCGTGAAGGATTGTAAGTTCACAAATGTTTCTGTGCTATAATGTTACAGATATAATACTCTACTATAATGTTAGCTTCGCTTTCATTTGTATTTAAAATTGCCCCTTAAAATGTTGAAACTGTTCAAATATCTCTTGATTTACGAATTATGGCTTTTGTGTTTGACTTACGCTCATTATGATGTTGTAAAAAGCAATCAAATGTGGCCCAATTTCAACTCTGTGCAAGTGTCATTAAATTAAAATTTGAATATTGTGACTAATTACTACGAAGAACTTAATATGATCTTTTATCTGTTTATATTGTTTAAAAACACAAACTATTGGAGAAATTCAGCAGGTCTGACAGCATTTATGGAGCGGGAAACAGAATTAAAGTTTCAACTCCAATTTGACTCTTCAGAACTGAAAGGGCCTGGAATGTGGTGTTTTGTACACTGTTGTTGAGGAGGAAAAGCGAGTGGAACAGATTGTGAGGGTACCTAGAGTAAAAGACAAAGGGACCTTCCATTTGCATGTCATTCTATGCTAACATTTCCTCCTGGGCCTGCTGCCATGTTCCAGTGAAGCTCAATACAAACCAGAGGACCAACACCTCATTTTCTATCAGGCTAAACCGCCTATTCCTGTTCCTATGTCCCACAACTCCAGAACATGACTTCTGTCTTCTATTATTCTTTCATTCCTCCACTGCCCTTCCGGTCATCTCTTGTTTGTGTCTTGCTCACCTTGTCTTAGCAGAGCTAACTCACTTTCTCCTTCTTACACCTATCATTTATACTATTTGCATCATTTACACATTTTACATCTCTCGCGTGCTCTCTGTCGCCCTCGCTTGCTCTCTCCTTTATGACCATTAACACTACCTTTTGGCTTTTCAACTGGACACCTCACAATTTGCTCTACTTGGTCCTCCTCTCCCTCTGTCGACAGCATAAAAAAAGCCCATCATGTCCCACCCCTTTTCAGTTGTGAAAAAGAGTCATATCAGACTTGAAATGTTAACTCTGTTTCTCTCTCCACAGATGCTGCTGGACCTGCTGAGTTTCTTTGGCACTTCCTGTTTTTATTTCAGAATTTCAGCATCTGCATTACTTTTGTTTTTACTTGAGTATTTATTGTTTTGTGGTTTGCTCACAGTTTTTATTTCAATTCATTGAAATCTGAAAAATTAGATAATTGGATGCACTGATGATGAGCACTTTTCTTTCCTCTTAGATTTTACATTTCAAGATTTGGGTATTCTTGGCTAACACTTTTACCTGCAGGAATGGAAATCCTGGACTCATTTGTGGTTGCAATGCAATATCAGGCTAGCATTTAAAGGACACAGTTTAAACTAATGCAATAAGTGAACAATCATAAGCACAAACTACTGTCTGAATTCTTGAAGTGATGAAGAGAAATGCCATCCTATTTTATTTTATCTAAATAGTCAGTACACTTCAACACTGACCTCTTAGCCTATTCCATATCTTTGAATAAACAGTATTGGTTTCAGCTGCCAATTATCTGCAGACTGGGATCTTGTGCAGCTTTTTCAGTTCTGAAAGGAGTGGCTTTTGAAATATTGCTATGTGGTGAATCATCTATAAATAATATGATTTGGAATCCTTTCTCCCTCCCTTCTTTTACTTCAACTGTCGAATGACAGTCAGCAACTAGATGGAAAACCAAACTATATATTAATCTACAAAAATTCATTATATATAATTTTCATTTCAGCCCTTTGTAGGGAATGATATGCCTCACCCCAAATGGGCTATAATGTGGAGGTACCGGTGTTGGACTGGGATGGAAAAGGTCAGGAGTCAGATAACACCAGGTTATAGACTTACAGGTTTATTTGAAGTCATAAGCTTTTGGAGTGTTGCTGACTTCGCCTGACAAAGGTGCAATGCTCTGAAAGCTTGTGATTTCAAATAAATCTGTTGGACTATAACCCAAATGGGCAGAAATGTGAACTTGGAGATTTTAGGACTACTTTGGAAACTGTCATAAAGTGTAGCCTGTGAGATCCAACTGTTTTCCCAATCTGAAATCTCAATAAATAATAAGGTCTTTGAAAAAAGAAATTCAAAATATGATAATCTATTGTCGCAATTATTGTTCAAAGGAATAAAACACAGGAGGTATTCATAATTCAGTGTTGTTGCTAGACTGGAATGTTTTCCATTGTTGCTGCACTAAATTTTCCATGATTTGAATTCCCTGTCATGCTTCTCCTATTATTTGAACTCCTGACTGTTTATGTCAGTAATGAATTTAATCTTACTTTTGAGTAATCACCTGTCAATTAATGTCATTGTATTTTAAATCGGGAGCAGTGTGAGTCTGATCCTGTTTCTGTGCATGTAGGAGAAAATCCAAAACATTGAAATGCTATTTAGCTTATTAATCTTCCTCCAGCCCAAGTGCATGTGTATTTATTCTATCACTGACTTACCTCCCACACCAGCTGTTAAGACCCTATTTTAAGGAAACCTAATTTCTTCCTGGATCACTTCTTGAGGGAATATTTGCTGATAGCATTACTGTCAACCATCTCTCAATTTAGACTAGTTTGTTTTTTTTTAAAGAATGGAATTGACCCTCAGTTTCATTCTCTATGCCATACATGTCAGTTATTCTATGGAGAGGAGTCTTGTTTTTATTTACATTTTGTCTCAAAGAAGTCTTATGAATTTTGTAACTTTCATGTCACCTGTAAACATAACGCCAGTGTTCAGTCACTTCTTCCTTATGGAAAGTAAGTGATTGTCTTTCATGAATTAGGTTTCTGAAGCCTGGAACCATTCTAATCACTTCTCTGAACCCATTCTGATGCGCCAATGCTCTATTTAAGATAGGGTGACTTTAGTTTTGAATAAGTATTATTTTTATGTCGTACAATGCAAATAAAATTTGTTCTGGTCAGTAGCCCTGTGCCCTTCAGTTGATGATGACATTAGATGGCTAAAATAAATATTTTAGACATAAAGTTGAAATTAAATTTCGACAACAATTCTGCTTACCCGATTTTTCAGTTTGTTGCATCCCAATAAAAGAAGGACACAAAAAGAATGTGTGTTAAGATTCTCCAAGATTCTTGCAAGTGTTGCTATCATATAAATTGATATTGTGTGTATTTCTGTTGTATTCAGTAAAAAATTTAATTTCCTTTGTTGTATTCTTTTCTAGTTACTTGTTTCCTGATGGACGTAGTCAAAATCCAGACCTGAATGGCTTGTGTGAGCCTACACCACATGACCATATCAAAGTGACACAGGTATAATTCTGACATATCTGCTTCTGCTCTCTGTGGAACTCAATAGTGCTGTCAACAAAATTACATTGATTTTGCCATATAATTTTTATTTTTAGCTCATCTATAACCTCCACGCAAAACTTATGGCTAACCTTCATTGTAAATGCTTCAGCCCAACTTCTGCTCTGATGTTCTGGACTCCTGCATTATTGAGAAGGAAATGTTCATGGACTTTACAGACCATTGAACTGATCTGTTGGTCCTACCTACAGCATGCTGCTTCTGTTGTTCAGTATGCATGCGATTCCCTCTAGATGTATGTTGTGGTTTCACCAGGTTGGCAGCTCATTTGTTGAATATGCTGCTCCTGGTATCATTTCCAACATTCCTCATTGAATCATGCATCACCCTCTAGCATATTGATAGAATGAGGAATACTATTGGCCGTTGTGGTTGAATACAGTTATGCTGCTGCTGATGGTGCACAGCACTTCATTGATCCTAGCTGAATCTGTTCTGAGTATAGTCCATTTAGCATGTTAGTGGTGCCACAAAGCACAATGAAGGATTCCCTGTGGACAGATTATCCTATTTCAAGAATTGGCTATGTTCATTAGTACTATAACATTTTGGACAGATGCATCTGCAACAGATAGATTGTTGAGCCTGAGGTCAATTAGGTTTTCTCTCCCATTCTCTTTGACGATGAGAGAACCCATGTCTGTTGCTATTTCATTTTACCAATTCAACAAGATATCTGCTTTGTGTCTGTGTTTTATTGTTGTGCTCAGCAGTGCTGGAAAAGGCAAGAGTGAGAAGAGATGATCAATTACTAATGAGTTTTTAAACATAACATAAGAACTAGGAGGAGGAGGAGTCGGCAATTCAGCCTCGTGATCCTTCTCTCCCATTTAATTCAATAATAGCTGATCTCATTGCAGCCTAAATTCCACCTTGTGCCCGCTTCTCATAATCCTTTAAACCATTAAAATCTTGTTTTTGTTTATTTTTATAGATGTATACTTGTCTGTCACTGCAGTTACCAGACGTACTATAGAGTGTGCATGTCCACATCTGGAACTGGAGGAGACAAAAGTTCCACAACTCTAGCTAATTTAAAGCCCCACTTTATTTCTGGAAGTGACTTACTCTGTCCTGGCTGCATTTGCCAGGTGATCTGACAGTGCACAGCCTTTATATTTTCTTGGAGTCTTGAACTAAGTTTTCCTTACCTCCTTCCTCCTTTTTATCTTGTGTGCACCACTGCTAAAATATTCACCAACTTGAAGATGAATGCCTCTGATGTTTTCATTTCTGGATATATTTCTTTTACTTTCCATCACTTAAACCAACTCAAAACTCTGTATTCTGGATAGAGTCTCTTTTAGACACATTATTACAGTTCTTACCCACTTTCTTTCACTCCCTGTGCTCCAGTAAATTAAGGTTAGGATTTTGAATATGATGGAACGAGCTGAAAAATGTTGTTAGTCATGCATTCCAGACTGTGTTTGTCCAATTCCAGATTACTGTGAAATAATGAATAGTTGATCATTTTGGCATCAGATGTTTACTTCTGGAGCAAAGTTCATGAAACATTTTATTTTACTATATGTTCTAAATCATCTATCTTCCTAAATGTAGCATCACTGACTCATTCCTCTTTAATTTCCCACCTTTCATGAAGACTGTTTGTCATTACTTGAACTTTTTTATCCTGTATGTGTTATGATAAAAGCTATAATTTCATTAGCATAAATTCTAATGTTAAACCAGTGGATCTGTAGCCCCAAAGACCTTTGGCCATTCACAGCATCTTAGTCTATCACCATTCAAAGTATAGTTACTGCTGTTTTGAAACTTGTGCACACTTTTTGGGAAATTCTGTCTACATTTTGGTGCACAGCATAACCTTATCAATATTGTGTGCTTGTCTTTTGTCTCCTGTTTGATAAAGTTTCCAAATTTCAATGCCACTCTCTCTTGACCTATATCCAAATATTTGATATACGTGGTGAACAAAAGTGGCCTCAAAAGCAGAGCCCTGTGGTTCACCACTACCTGCTTCTACTCGCTTTGAAATATTGTCATTGTAAGTTGGCTCTGTGAAATTTGTCTGCAGTGCACTTGCATGATATAAAGTTGCTGAGTGCAAATTATTACCTAATCTTGAGGTTTAGATAGTTAATTTAAACTTCAATGAATTAGATGACCGCCTTAATTAGGTTACCCAATGGTGGTAATTTACAGTTGTGTATTCATGATTCAATATTTAAAATGCCAGTTATGGTTTTGGTTTGTGTACACATTGTATTGAGTGTGCTTTTGATGGGGAAATGATCCTAAATAACTCCATATTCCGATATGGAGAGTCCAGAACCCACATCTGAGATACTATATAGCAATTTAGTCATTTAAAGAAATTGTACTTGTGCAAATTTTGTGGCAGTTCCCTTCACCATATTGCCATACTAAGAGCAAGGGGAACTAAACATTTGTGTTCAATTATATTTATAACACGTCATATTTGTGGAAAAGTAATTGGTAAAAATATGCAAAGCGACTGAACTATCAAGATATTTGGTAAAGCGAGCATATGATTGAACTATTCAGGTTGAGATTCGGTTTGTGGCCTCCATGATTATTAGCCTTTCACCCTCTGGCTACAAGAAAGGCAAAATGAGCTAGGGTTTCTTTATTTAAATTTTGATCACCCAACTCTTGGAATTAGCCTTTAGGCATGAATAAAATCCCTTCTCCTGTTACAGTTGTTGTCCATTTTCTCTTTTATACAAGGATGAGTCACTTGGGCGCAAGGTACCAAACAGCAGTTGGTAGCTATGGAACTGCATCGAAGTGGTACTTTTTGAGGAGATAGAAGTGAACAATTGAATTGTTCTATTATTGAATTTTGCCAATACAAAGATATAATCCTCATCTTTTTGATTTTCCTTTGCAAGGAACAATATGAACTGTATTGTGAGATGGGCTCCACCTTCCAGCTTTGCAAGATCTGTGCAGAAAATGACAAGGATGTGAAAATAGAACCCTGTGGTCACCTAATGTGTACTTCCTGTCTTACAGCCTGGCAGGTAGGAGAGAATAAGCTCCACTTGTCAGGAACATTTGTAATTTATATATGTGCTAATGCAGATTATCGTGAAGATGACCTATTGACATTTCCATTCTATTCCCGTTATATGTAGCCAAAATACAATGCTGAATGTAGATAGAATGGGTATTGTAGATCTCAGCCACAATGTGTCTCTGATTAATTGGTATCAGAAATGCTCAGAAGATCACTTCATTAAGAACTATTGAAGTAGTGGTTGTTTTTTTTTTACATGCATTCTTTACAGCACTTAGATGTGTTTTTCCAGTTGGTATAGTGAGGTAATGGAAGAATGTAGTTAGTTTAAAATAAAATTGTGAACCCCACTATGAAATGTCAAGATTGTACCCTTTTTTTCTTGTATTTTTAATTATGAACTGAAATGGCACAAGAACTTTTAAACCAAGGATAGTGAGAGGAGTTGCTTTATTTTTAAAAACATGCTCCTGGAACTCATTGCAGGCGATGTTTACACTGCTTTGTTCAAGGAGTCGGGGGAGCTGTTTGTAGATGTCCAGCGCCAGGGTAGATATGAAAAGTGAGATTTGGCCAGTAGCTTGTTGTCTCACCCCTGCAGTAAAAATACATGAAGGCTGAAAAGTAGTTATTTTCTGCCATCAGTTGCTGTAAGCTCTTGCCTTAACCAGTAACTAAGAGACTTTGCAGTTATTGTATCAGTTGTTTTGTGCCTTCTTTGAAGAAGTGAACGAATCTTGAGAAAAGAGATTGAAGAACAGAAAGTCCTGGCAAGCCAAAATGATCATATCAGCAAACCGTGTGAACTGGTGCTATTGAACTATGGTTTCCAGTCTTGGTTTCCCCCCCTCTACTCTTTTATACTAACACTTTTTTAAAATTTGTCTCCATCTGTCTGTATAATCTATGTATGGGTTTTGTAAGGAATTATAGTCCTTTTGAGGAGACCCTTATGTTGATAGTTCATAGCTGTTTACATGTGTTTAGAATTTACTTATTTGTAATAAATGGCATGTTGTAAACTGTATGATTTATATTTTTAAAATATAATTTATTGTAAGTTTGGATTTTTTGGTTTTAGAGTTAGTAACATGGGCTTTTTGTGTGTCTCAAGTTAATAATTAACTTGTAAGTATTTCTGCATGGTAATTTACTTTAAATCAAAATTGGAGGCCTAATTTTAGAAAGTAGGTCTTTGTGTACGGTGGTAGGGTTTTATGACTGAACAAGAAAAACAAGCTCCATTTTAGAAAATCAGGAGAGTTTTTTTAATATTAAGTGAAATGTGCAGAATTTAAAGAGGGAGTTTTTTGCAGTTTTACTTTGTGTTTGGAGTAGTCCTTTCAAGTTCTTGATGAAGGTACTGTATAGACCAGTGCTCCTGAGAAGGGAAGATACATTAAAACTATACTACCTTAGAGTAGAGTTAATGAGACTCCCAGACCAGAAGTGTTGGGATTAGCCCTGAAGAGGTTACTTGAAGTTGGGTCATTTTGATACCTGCAGTTCCAATCTATAAGATGTCACAAATGACTTAAACCTATCAAGGTGTTAGAAAGAGGGACTGTGGTGTGCATACTGCAAGAGTGATGTTTTGGGTCCGATACCAAGTGTGTTTTTAGGTCCTGTATCAGAGGTGTGTTTTGCGTATTATACAAAAGCTGCTGTCCTTTTGTCAATTTATGATATTGTTTTGCTATTCAAGGCATTATACTTCTACTGTGTGTTTAAAAATCTTTGAATTTGTTGCAAGTCAATAGTTTGGATTATTCTATTCTATTGTCATTACATTTGTTAATAAACTTCAATTTTATTGCTCAAGAAAACTGCAACATTGCATGCCTGTATTTCGGACCGCCTTATTAAAGCCAAAATATTATGTTTTAAGCCAGGTTTCAGTGTGGAATCTGAATTGTCCTGTGATAACATCACCTGGGATCATAACAATAGTAATTCTTGATAGTGCAGGAATCTGGTCAGTGTTTTTGTTAACTTGATTCCAACAGGTAACTCTGGGAACTTGTGTATTTTGATTAAGTCATTATCATTTGTGATGACCCTGAGAGTAGTAGGGCATCAGAATCAGTGCACTTTTCTGAGTGGGTCGTAACAACAGAACTTGCTAAACAATCATTACAGTTGTAATTAATGAATCACAAAGTGAAGATATTTTTCATCCTTTTTATTAGTATGCTGTTTTCTTTGTTGTTTAATTTTTCAGTCTTTTTGGAATGTACTTTAGTGTTATTATATTGTACAGTTATTTTGAACTTCTTGTTTTAGTTTCAGGTGGTGACAAGAAAAGGAAATGATGGCATAGATAACATGCATTATGTAGCTCTGGTCTATATTTCTGGTGCACCATTAATGAAAAGAGGGAAATGTAACTACGGAGGGAAGCAAAGCCAGTTCTTCCTGTCACTGATGGTGAAATACTAGTGTCATTCATGGGAGAATATAATCAACTAAAGCTTTGCAGAATATCAAATTTGATTTTTGTAAATTTTGCTGTAGTGCTTTGTATATGACTTAGTAGCACTACGGTGGAAGTATGTTTGCGTCCTACTGCACAGAAAATTCGTAAAACCCTCTTGACGCTTCCTTAGAACTTTTGCAGAAAGACTTAATTTTAGGAGATTCATCTTATTAAATTCTATGTGCTCCATCTAGGAATCTGAAGGTCAAGGCTGTCCATTTTGTCGCTGTGAGATAAAAGGCACTGAACCAATTGTTGTGGACCCTTTTGACCCCAAAGATGGGCCAGGTCAAGCTCGTTTAGGAATGGAGACAATGTTATCCCCGAATTATGAGGACGAAGATGATGACCGTGCTGATGAATTCTTTATGATGAACAAACTATCAAGTACCAAGGTACTAAAGATTTTTGTGCGTACGTTTTTCAAAATCCAGTTAATGAAGTGTGCCAGGGCTCCTGCTGAGCTGAAATTATGTATTAAAGCTTCCATACGAGCCCAGCTTCTGCCTTGTATCAATAAAATACTTATCCACGAAAACAAATGGATCAAATTTCAAAGAATAACTTTTTACTTATTTGTTGTACCATTCACATTTTAATTATGAACGATTGAAAACCTTATTTGTCCTGTATTTTAGATATATTTTAATCCAGACTAGCAGGAAACCTTCTTTGGAAAGACGTAGTATTGGTTTTTAAGGCGTTATTTTAATTGGGAATGTTGGGCTAATAGATTGGAGATTATCTTCCAAAGTCTAGAATACATTTAAATTACTAGTCCCAATTTTGGAAAGGGCATAATCTAAATACTGGCAACGATGTTGAATTATACAGATTCTGTGGTGCCAAATTGCAGTATGCTGGAAGTAAGAAATAGCAGATAGAATCTGATATTGTATTGATAAATTTGTGCTTTGAAATGAGCAATGGATAGTAAAATTGATAACTGACAAATCTCATCTCATGTTCAATGTTCTGGCACAATTCACGAGAAAATCTCTTTGTAATCTATTTCATTGTCAAAATTGGCCACAGTGCCACCCAGTGACAAAACTGGAAGCTATGCAGATTGAATAATTATTTCACAAACGAGCAAAGTGATGATGAAAAGTACAAAGGAAAGCAGTTAAAGGGATCCCTTCATTGAATCACAGGATTGTTACCAGAGCAGACAGAAACCATTTGACCTATTGTGTCTGGACCTATGAGGATTTTGACCCCGTGTCAGTCTCCCGTCCTATCCCCATGAACCAGCATATAATTTCTGTTTAAGTTATCATTGAATGTCTCAATTAAACCTGTCTACACTACACTTCCAGGCAGTGCAGTTCCTCACCTTAACTACCCACTACGTGAAAAAAGATTTTCTTTCTGTTTGCATTTCTCCTTTTGCCAAAATCATTTAAACCTTTGACCTCTCATTCCTGATCCTTGTTGAAGAAGGAGCAGTTTCACCATATCAACTACAGATCCCTCATGATTTTATAAACATTTATTAAATCTTCCCTCCGCCTTCTCCACTGCAGCATAAACAGCCCCAATTTTCTCCATAACTCATAGCTGAAATTTCTCATTACTAGAACCATTCTGGGAATTTTCTTTTCTCTCTCCACTGCATTTACAGAACTGCACAGAAGTGTAACTGGTATCCTTTACAAGTAACAAAAACAAAGTTGCTGGAAAAGCTCAGCAGGTCTGGCAGCATCTGGCAGAATGGTTCTGAGGAAGGGTCACCGGACCCAAAACATTAACTCTGTTTTCTCCTTCACAGATGCTGCCAGACCTGCTGAGCTTTTCCAGCAACTTTGTTTTTGTTCCTGATTTACAGCATCCACAGTTCTTTTGGTTTTTATCCTTTAGAAGTACATCATAATCTCCTTGCTGTTGCATTCTGTCCCCTATTAATGAAGCCTAGAATACTGACTGAATTTTTAGAGTTCTTTCCATCTGTCCTGTCCCCTTTAATAACTTTTGTACATAAATCCCTAGGTCTTTCTGCTTCTGCACACCCTTTAGAGTAGGACCCTTATTTTAGACTGTGTCTCCATGTTCTTTGTACCAAAGTATATCATGTCACTTTTCTACATACTAAACTTCATCTGCCATCTGTCTGACGACTCCACCAGGCTGTTCATGTCCATTTGGTGTTCTACACAATGCTCCTCACATTCTCCCAAGCTTGTGCCATCTGCAAGCATTGTAATTGCCCCTTGCATACCAAGATCAAGATCAAGATCTGCACCTGCTTTACAACCTGTTTTGAACAGAAGCATAATGTTTGCAATTCTGCAGTTGTCTGCACTACCCCTAAATCCAGGGAAGGTTGAAATACCGTTGTTCGTGTCTATGATTTCCACTTGCACTTCTCTGAATATTATTGGATGCATCTCATCCGGTCCCAGTAGATGATCAATTTTTTGTACCAGCGGTTTATCCAATACTTTCTCCTCATCATTTTTAAACTCTTGTAGTGACTGAACTTGCTTCTATGTCACCGTGGCCTGGGTAGCATCTACCTCTAGGGTAAAGAAAGATGCAAAGTATTCATTTAATTCCTTAGCCATGCCTCTTGCTTCTTTGTGCTAATCTCCTTTTCTGGTCCGTAATCAGCCCAAGTCTTCCTTTTTCCCATTCTTTTACCATTGATGTGCTTATAGAAGTCTTTGGGGTTTCACCTTGTATCAACTGCCAGGTTGTTTTCATGACCCCTCTTTGCTTGTCTAATTTGCTTTCCCAACTGCCTTCTGAGCCTTTGTATCTAGCTTGATTCTTAATTGAATTTGCTCCCTGAAACCAATCAAAGGCACACTTCTTTTTCATTGACATGATTTCCATCTCTTTTATCATTTTTGGAGCTTTGGATTTTATTTAAGACACTATACTTTGACTGTGCATGAGCCATCTCCTATTTGACAGTATTCCACTGTTTATTGTTTATGCTGCCAGGCTTTAGCTCCAGTTTGTTTGGCTCAGTGCAGTTCTTGCTTCATTTGACATCCACTGTCTGCCAGTTAGTTATCCTCACTAATGTCAAGTTTCCTGAGTGTTATTGGAACTGCACTCATCCAGGTAAGTGTGAAGTATTCCATCACACTCCTGATGGTGGACTGGCCTTGGGGGAGGCAGAAGGTGATTTCCTTGCTGCAGGATTCCCAGTCTCTGACTAGCTCTTTTAGCCACAGTAATTTATGTGACTGGTCCAATTGTTTCCGGCCAATGGAAGCCCCCAGGATGTTGATAGTGGAGGATTGTTGGATTGGAAATATTCCTCGCTGCACGTTATGCTACAGAAGTACCAGACTGATTCCTGGGGTAGTGGGGCTGACGTATGAGGAGAGTTTGAATCAGATAGGATTATTTGTGCTGGAGTTCAGAAGAATGACTAGGGGATCTCCTAGAAACATAAAACCTCTGAGGTTTAGATAGGGTAGATGCAAAAAAGATGTTCTTGATGGTGGGGGAGTCCAGGACCAGGGTTCAAAGTCTGAGGATACTGGGTACCTACTAAGGATTGAGATGAAGAAAAATGTCTTCACTCAGCGAGTGGTGAGCCTGTGGAATTCGCTATTGTAGAAATCAATCAAGGCCAAAACATATGATTTTGAGAAGGAATGGGATATAGCACTTGGGGTTAAATGGATCAAAGGATGTGTCAGAAAAGTGGGAATAGGCTATGGAGTTGAATAATCAGCCATGATCAAAATTAATTACAGAGCAGGCTTGAAGGGCTGAATGACCACCACCTACTATTTTCTGTTTTTTTTTGCCAATTGTTTGCTCATTTTGCAAATTATTAACGCCCTCCTCAGTATTTTATTGCAGCCCTCCCCAGTATTGATTATCCCTCCAATTTGGTGCCATCTGAAGATTCACAGATTGTGTTTTAGATTCCAATGTTCAACTCTTGATGCAAATTGTGAACAGCAGTGATGCTAGATACTAGTGCAACATCAATCCCATATTCAGCTTTTGTGAATAACTAACTATTACTTCAGTTTTCTGTCTTGAAACAAGCTAATAAGGCATTCTTCCACTTGTCCAATGATTCTACATTCTCTGATATTATTCATTAGCCTATTGTGTGGCACCTTGTCAAAGATCCTTTGAAAATTCAGATAAATTACATCATGATCGTTGTCTACTCTCTGTTACCATTTCTTAAAATTTATTAAGGTTGGTCCAGCAAGCTTGTTCCTTTTGAAATCCAGGCTGACTATTATTACATTTCTTCTGTTTCTAGATATTTTCTGTTCAATTCAATTTCACTTTGCCTACACAGAACTTCATTTTGGGTACATGTTTGTCCATTCAAAAATTATATGTAACTGTATAATAACAGGAAAATTAACCCTTTACAGATGACTAAATTTAATTAAAAATATAATTAGTATTGTTTTATTTGCATTAACATAATCGGTCTTTAAGTCCTAGCATGAGTGCAAATTCTCATTCTTTCATCACATTCCTTGTAGAGAAGTTCTTATAAAAAGGCGTGCAAATCAGCTCAAGAACCATTTTGTCTTGCATCAAATCGATTGTGGCCTTTTCCCTGAGCACATCCACCAGTAATTCTTATTGTTCATGATGTTGTTTACTTTTGCCACAATTCTTTGGAAGCAGATTTTGTCTAGTAACACCCTTTTCACCTGCTTCAACAATCTCTGTATTTTTACAAAGTCTAATACGCAAAGGACACAGTATCTAGAGCGATACCAAAAAAGAATGGCACTCAGCTTCAGTCATATAAGAATTTCATAATTTTGAGATATCAAAAGGATTTTAATCTTGGGGTGGTATAATGATCCAACTCCCTTGGGTACTACGTCTGTCTACTGTCCTGTGCAATTCAATTTACCATCTACTTTAAATTGTAACTACTTGTAGTTAGTAACTGTTTCAGCGTCCACATCATGAATTTTCATAGGAACTACATTGTCCACTGAAATCACTGATGTCATCAGAAACATCTCCACTTCTCACTGAGGTTTTCCTCAAGATAGTGTCCTAGGCCCAACCTCTTTCAGCTACTTCATTCATGACCATCCCTCCATCATAAAGTAGGAAATGGGGTCACTTCAATAATGTTCAGCCCTGTTAATGATTCTTCAGCTGTTGAAGCAGTCTCTGTCCACATGCAGCAAGACACAAACACCGTTCAGACTTGGGTTGACAAGAGGCAAGTAATACTTGTGTCACACAAGTCCTAGGAAAAGAACATCTCCAACAAGAGTGATGCTCCCATGAGGTAAGAGTCATTGCTGGAACTCCTTGGTGCTACACTCTGACTGCCCATTTATCATTCTCAGCTTCCTTCTGAAGTTCAGCTCTTCTGTTTATGTTTGGCCCAACGCTGTGGTGAGGTCTGGAGCTAAATGGATCTGATGGAATCCAAAATGAGCTTCAGCAAGCACATTATTGTTGAGCGGGTCCCACTTAGAACTGTTACTGGCCCCGTTAGTATAGTATTTATTGCTTTTATTTATTTATACCCTGCCATTTATGTTGTATCATTAAATCTGTGTGTGTCATTCCTATATTCAAAGTATTTTTTTTTTACTGTTAATATTCCTTTTGCTTGAAGTTCTGATGTTGTTTTGCTTTGACTTTCTTTACTAATATAGGTGTGTTTGGTTTTCAGTTCCAGGTCAGGGTACTATATTTATTATTTGCCCCATGGTTGATCATTTGTCAGTTTTTATTTTAACTCTTCGAATCATAGAGGCGTAGAGATCTACAGCAAAACAAGAGACCCTTCGGCCCATCATGTCCACAGTGGTCCAAAACAACCACCTATTCTAATCCTACTTTCCAACACTTTGCCTATAGCCTTGTATGCATTGGCATTGTAAGTCACATCTAAACACTTATTTAATGTTATGAGGGTTTTTCAATTTTCTCTCCTCTGCTGAAGGCATTGCCTGGATGCCATCTGCAATCCAAAAAGCAGTTCCTCGTGTGTGACCTTGATGGTGAGAGTCAGCCAGCCAAATGTTTGTGGGGTAATTCCATTTGAGCCTGATATATCTTGTGTGTGTGAATAGAGATGTATTTTTCCTGCAGAATAAGATAGATTTTAGGGAAAAGAGGCTTGGCTAATTGTCTACTGCCCTACTAATTATTTGATTTTTTTTGTATAGAAAAACAGTAACAATATTGTGGAAGTGTGGAACAAGACTACTGATACTATATAAAAATATTGTGAGCTAGAAACCTTGCACAATGTTTCTTGTATGCATCATTCACTATATTAGTGCATAATTTTTTTCCTAAAAAGATTGAGAGGCCACCGTCTCCAGTCACCCCAGCTCCCAATTCTGCGCTTCCACCAGTTCCTCCTCGGTTAGACTTGCTGCAGCATCGATCACCCACAGTTTCTAGTGCACCTAGTCCTTGTGTTTCACCCAAGGTAAGGGACTATTTTATTCAGATAATACTTTGTACATTTATAGCTAACATTTCTGAGACCCAAAAACTTATCGGGACAGTGTATGGACTGGAATTTATATTACAATTCTGGGTATGATGAGTTCTTGATTTGGCCTGGTAGATAAAAATGTACAACGATTCAGCCCAAAATGTGTAGATTTAGTCGAAATAGTCCAGTGCAATTTTAACCTTTCCGTGAATCATCCTACATTCAATGTTCCGTGTAATGCAATAAAAGGTTACAGCAAAAGTTTTGGGAGGTGGGAGAGAAAGTTATTCACCCCTCTCCCAAACTTTCTTCCTGAGGAAAGCAATACCTACCGTCATAGTTTCCCAAAGCAAATACTCCCTCACAAGCAAAGCATTTCTACCCTTCCTGTCTATAACTGCAACATAGTCATCAATAAATCTGGTATGGAATGCGGGAGGAATGAAATGAGTCTGGGTTTCAACACCCTGGAAAAGGAAGAATTTGTAAAATAAACAATGTGAAACCTGGGAATAGTAAAAGATAGCTGCAGAGCAACTCAGAGGGTGGCACGGTTGCTTAGTGGTTAGCACTGCTGCCTCACAGTGCCAGGGACCTGGATTCAGTTCAAGCCTCGGGTGATTCTGTGTGGAGTTTGCACGTTCTCCCCATGTCTGCATGGGTTTCCTCCGGGTGCTCCGGTTTCCTCCCACAGTCCAAAGATGTGCAGGTTAGGTGGATTGGTCATGGGAAATTGCCCATAGTGCCCAGGGATGTGTAGGTTAGGTGGGTTAGCAATTGGGAATGCATGGTTACAGGGATAGGGTACAGGGTGGGTCTGGGTGTGATGCTCTTTGGAGGGTTGGTGTGAACTCGATGGGCCAAATGGCCTGCTTCCACGCTGTAGGGATTCTATGATTGGATCAAATAAAATTTAGAAAAGTAAAAATGGAGAAGGAGGAAATTTAAGGAAAGCGTGTTGGTATGATTTAAAAAAAAAACTGGGCTTCTTGGAGGCAGCTTTTATAGTGAAGGGATTATTTCAGTTAAGATAAAGTGAAATCAAGAAAGTTGGTAGCAAAATGGACCCATGGAAGCTAAGGGGTGGTGACTGTTCAATGAGATACGAACAAGCTGTCTTGGAAGAATTGAATAAAGTGAGATTTGCATTGCCCTGCTGAAGGCATGGTATAGTATTTCTGACAAGATTGTGCTGTGATCACTGGTGGCTTGTGATGTGTAGGAAGTGACAAATCCACATCTAAATTGCAGCATATTGTGTTGGTGAGTCTGCAAGATAATTAGAGCTGTTATTCCATTAAATGAAGTAATGGTGTCAAGTGGCAGGGTCTATAGCACCTGTCATGGAAAAATGTCTACTTCTGAAAACTAAGTCTGACAATCTTTTTTTGTTTGTGGTTATAAGAATTATAACATACCAATTTTAAATCACTGTTTGGCAAATGCGTTGTGTGCGCCTGCCCTCTGATTAAATAATGCTTAAGTCAGTGATATATGAGAGGAGCAGGGGGACATACTAGAAGGAATTGGATGCTAATTATGTGGTCTGCATAGGAGTCGCCACTCCTACACATACATGATTCTGAAATGACTTGGACAGTTTGGATAACTGAAATCCTAAATCCTAAAAGAGCCTTGCTCTTCTGTCACTAATACAATTTGTCACGCTTGTTAATTTCACCTCTTTAATTGTTTCTAGTGTGTGTTCAGCATTTATGTGTTCAGTAATGGTGAACTATCCCACATGTGATTATAGATAATTTTGTTTTCTGGATTCTTCTTCTCCTTTTTCACTGCGATAGTTGTAATTGTAAAGTATAGACATGCTAAGATAACTGAGAACAGAATTGTGAACATAATCGGGCATTTTGAATACTTTAAAACAAAACCGCAAAGTGCTAGAGAAACTCAGCAGGTCTGGCAGCATCTGTGGAGAGTGAAATAGAATTAATGTTTTGGGTATGATATGAAACATATTCAGAACTAGAAGGGGCTGGAAATGATGCATTTTATGCAATTGACAGGGGAACATGAAATGAGAGTGCCAGGGCAAAAGGCAAGCAGAGTGCTGATGGTGGTAAAGGGCATTTTGACACGTAAAATAGATGTAATTGATGAGTGTGAAAAGGAGGAATTAGGCCTGCACTTCTGAGAGAAGTGGGTTGGAGTTGGGGTTGTTGTACTTAATGTTGAGTCCTGAAGGCCGTAAAGAGCCTCATCAGAAAATGAGGTGGTGTTTATCCAGCTTGCGTTCAGCTTCATTGGAACACTACAACAAAGTCAGAATTTAATACGTGCATGTTAACCTTAAGAGAATCGTGAACTAGGACTGCAAGTCCCTTTGTGTTTCAGATTTCTGAAACCTTTCTCCAGTTAGAATACAGTCAATGCCTCTATTCTTACTACCAAAGTGAATAACTCACACTTGCCCATATTATATTCTATCTGCTACTTCTTTGCCCGCTCTCCTAGCCTAAGACCTTCTGCAGCCTTCTCAACTACCTGTCCCTATTTTGTATCATTTGCAAACTTAGCAGCAATGCACTCAGCTACTCAGATGACACCAAAGTTGGTGGAGTTGTGGATAGCGCGGAAGGATGTTGCAGGTGACAGAGGGACATAGATAAGCTGCAGAGCTGGGCTGAGGGGTGGCAAATGGAGTTTAATGTGGAAAAGTGTGAGGTGATTCACTTTGGAAGGAGTAACAGGAATACAGAGTACTGGGCTAATGGTAAGATTCTTGGTAGTGTGGATGAGCAGAAAGATCTTGGTGTCCATGTGCATAGATCACTGAAAGTTGCCACCCAGGTTGATAGCGTTGTTAAGAAGGCGTACAGTATGTTAGGTTTTATTGGTGGAGGGATTGAGTTTCGGAGCCATGAGGTCATGTTGCAGCTGTACAAAACTCTGGTGCGGCCGCACTTGGAGTATTGCGTACAGTTCTGGTCACCGCATTATAGGAAGGATGTGGAAGCATTGGAAAGGGTGCAGAGGAGATTTACCAGGATGTTGCCTGGTATGGAGGGAAGGTCTTATGAGGAAAGGCCGAGGGTCTTGAGGCTGTTTTCATTAGAGAAGAAGGTTAAGAGGTGACTTGATAGAGACATACAAGATGATCAGAGGATTAGATAGGGTGGACAGTGGGAGCCTTTTTCCTCGGATGGTGATGGCTAGCACGAGGGGACGTAGGTTTAAATTGAGGGGTGATAGATATAGGACAGATGTCAGAGGTAGGTTCTTTACTCAGAGAGTAGTAAGGGCGTGGAATGCCCTGCCTGCAAAAATAGTAGACTCGCCCACTTTAAGGGCATTTAAATGGTCATTGGATAAACATATGGATGATAATGGAATAGTTTAGGTTAGATGGGCTTCAGATTGGTTTCACAGGTCGGTGCAACATCGAGGGCCTAAGGGCCTGTACTGCGCTGTAATGTTCTATGTTCTATGTTCTATGTTCTATGTTCTATGTTCTATGTTCATCCAGATCGTTAATGTATAACATGAATAGTTATAATCCTAACACAGGCCCCTGCGGAACTCCACTAGTCTCTGGTTGCCCTCTTGAAAAAGAGCCGTTTATCCTCACTCTCTGCCTTCTGTCAGTCAACGAATCCTCTGCCAGGACCTTGCCCCTAACCTCGTGGGGCCTCACCTTATTTAGCAGTCTCCTGTGTGGCACCTTGTCAAAGACCATCTGGAAATCCAAATAGATCACGTCCACTGGGTCTCTTTTCTCTAGCTTGCCCTTTACCGCCTCAAATAATTCTGATGTGGAAATGCCAATATTGGACTGGGACTGACAAGGTCAAAAGTCAGACGACACTAGATTATAGTCCAACAGGTTTATCTGAAATCACAAGCTTTTGCAGCGCTACTCCTTCGTCAAGTGAAGCCACTTCGTCTGATGAAGGGGCAGTGCTCAGAAAGCTTGCAATTTCAAATAAACCTGTTGGACTATAACCTTGTGTCGCATGCCTTCTGATCAAATAATTCTAACAGGTTTGTCAGGCATGGGCTCCCTTGACAAAGCCATGCTGACTCAGCTCTATTTTACCATGCACTTCCAAGCAGTTTGCAATCTCATCCTTCATAACGGACTCTAAAATCTTACCAACAACCAATCTCAGGCTAACTGGCCTGTAATTTCCCATCCTCTGCCTCCCTCGCTTCTTAAACAGGTGTTACATTAGCCATTTTCCTGTCCTCTCTGACTCCAATGATTCCTGGAAGGTCATCACCAATTCCTCCATAATCTCCTCAACCATCTCCTTCAAATCCCTGGGTTAGTCCAGCTGATCGAGGTGGTTTATCCATCTTCCTTTTAAGTTCCCCAGCACCTTCTCCTTTGTGATGGCCACTGCAGTCACCTCTGCTCCCTGTCTCTTGAAGTTCTGGTATACTCCTCATGTCTTCCTCCATGAAGACTAATGCAAAGTACCTATTCAGTTCCTACACCACTTATTTATACCACTTCGGGAGGCAATGGCCTAGTGGTGTTATTGCTGGGCTGTTAATCCAGCGACCCAGATAATGTTCTCGGGACACAAGTTCAAATCCCACCATTGCAAGTGTTGGAATTTGAATTCAATAAAATATCTGGAATTGAGAATCTAATGATGACCATGAACCATTGTCGATTGTCAGAAAAACCCATCAGTTTGACTAATGTCCTTTAGGGAAGGAAACTGCCATCCTTATCTGGTCTGGCCTACATGTGACTCTAGACCCACAGCAATGTGGTTGACTCTAAACTGCCCTCTGGGCAACTAGGGATAGGCAATACATGCTGTCTGGTCAGCGATGCCCTCATCCCATGGATGAATAAAGAAAAAAAGTGTTCCCTATTACTACTCCTCCAGCCTAATTTTCCAGCAGTCCAATGTCTACTCTTATCTCTCTCTTACTTCTTATATCTTTAAAATAAACTCTAACAATCCTTGTCTATATTACCCACATATTTCAACTTCTCCCACTTACTGCTTTTTTCTGTTATCCTCTGCTGGTTTCTTACTACGTGCCTCTTCACTGTTCAAACACACCTTCCAGGTAAAGTACTTGTACTTCTTTCAATCTAGTCTACTGTATTTGCTGCTCACAATGCAGTTTTCTTTACAATGGGAAGACCAAACAGCAAGTGGGTGACTATTTTACAGTGCGCCTCTACTCTGTCGATAAGAATGAGCCCAACTTTCCTGTAGTTTGCCATTTCAATAAATCACCTTGTACCCATGCTAACATTAACCTTGTCGTTATGACAAGGTGCCACACAATACCATATTGGTCTTTGAACTCTCTTATTCTAGTTCACTGACATTATCATTCTACAACTGAACTTCTAATGCACGTTCATTTGGCAGTTAGGATGGTAAATGCAATGATATCATTCATTTTGAGAGGGCTAGAATGCAAGAGAAGGGATGTACTGCTGTGGCTGTGTAAGGCTCCGGTCAGACTGCATTTGAAACATTGTGAGCAGTTTGGGCCCCATATCTAAGGAAAGTTGTGCTGGTGTTGGAGGAGATCCAGAGGAGGTTTACAAGAACAGTCCTGGGAATGAAGGGCTTGTCATATGAGGAGTGGTTGAGGACTCTGACTCTGTACTTGGAGTTTAGAAGGATTAGGGGCATCTCATTGAAACTTACAGGATACTGAGAGGCCTGAATAGAGTGGACACTGAGAAGATGCTTTCACTCGGAAGAGAGACCAAGACCTGAGGGCACATCCTCAGAGAGAAGGGTTGAACCTTTGGAACTGAGGTGAGAAGGAATTTCTTCAGTCAGAGTGCGGTGAAGCTATGGAACTCATTGCCGCAGAGGGCTGAAGAGATCAAGTCATTGAGTATGTTTAAGGCAGATATAGTTTCTTGATTAGTAATGGGATCAAGGGTTGCAGGGAGAAGGCAGGAGAATGGGTTTGAGAAACCTATTAGCCATGATCGAATGGTGGACCAGAGTCTATGGGCCAAATGGTATAAATCTGTTCCTGTGGCCTTAAGGTAAAAGGGCAAGTGTGAAATCTTCTATGATTGCTTGGGAACGTGTCATGGAGAGTGGGGAAGTGTTAGGAGCGATGGAGGAGTGGACCAGAGCATTATGGAGGCAATGGTCTCTGTAGGCCCTCATTTCTAATAGACAGCACTTCCTGAATCGTCACTTAATAGCCTTCAGGCTGTCGGTCCTTGTTTTTTTTTCTTTTTAATGGCCTTGCTAACCTGTGATAATTTTCAGTAATTGGAGCATATTGGTATTCAAGATTGCATTGTTCCTCTCCCCGATACTAGATCAACATTGGAATTTCAGCTTTCCTCACCTAAAGAGCATTGCTGAACCAGTTTTTTTTAACTACATCTTGCAACTTCACGATATTTCACAAACAGCCTTCTTATTTCCAAATTTCATTTTAAAATAAACTTGAGTTCTCAGGCTACCATATTGGCCTTTGAACTCTCTTATTCTAGTTCACTGACATTATCATTATCATTATACAACTGAACTTCTAACAGAACAGCTCACGAGTTGATCCAGATTCTTGATATTATGGTATTCTATGATATGAAGAGTGGAACAGATTTAATGGACTGAATTGTCTAATTCTCCTCATATCTTGTAGTCTTGTGAAAGCTTGCAAATTGTCAGTGATAATTTTGACCAATTTTAAAATAGATGTTGGAACTGCATGGTGTCATTTCTAGCTTTTTAAATCTTTTTAGATTTAGGGGATATAATTGAATGATGCATTCTAGTAAACATTTGTAGAAGGATTGAAACCTTAAGTAGATTTGCTAAAATCTAAAGTTGCAATGTATAATTGGATACTTGCTTACAGTTCAGTTTCGAGGGAACTTGAAAAGATGATGTGGTTGCGTTCAGGATAGGTTCAGCTAGCTGATCATTCTTGGTCATTCGGTGCACGGTCATTCTAGTTTCTGAAAATCTGTATCGAGTATAGCAAACAGCCTGATTTACATTTTACCAATTTAAGGAGGAGCTTCTGAGTGTGCTGTTGCATTTCTGGTTTGTCAAGGGTTAAGGTGACCATTTATTTCCAAATTTGCTGTTAACTGAGGATTGGGTTGAGTATTAAAACCCATTTGAAAAAGACCCTTGCAGCTGCAGCAATTGTTCTATTTCCTCCTGATGGACCCAGAGTTTAAAGAAGCTCATTCTAAGCTACTGTGGCAACCCACTGCCCAACTTTTGTGGCTTTTATTTGACAAAGGCCAGTACGTATTTTAAAACATCGAAGCATGGATGGTAAGAATTCAAATGACTGAAATTTGTGTGTAGCGTTTTCTGAACCTTCAGTCACTAAATGAGGCTTGGCTCAAAACACTTTTTCTCGATGCTGCCAGACCTCCTGAGTTTTTCCACCAATTTCTGTTGTTGTTTCAGATTTTCAGCATCCACAGTTCTTTGTTTCATACGACTCAAGATATTGTTATTTTGTTATCTTCCAGCTCGTGAATGATCAAAAGACACTTTCTTTCCTATCCTATTTAAAATGTGTATTTTTATACTTCTGTAATACTATATTAGGCAGTTTCAAAGCATACTTAGAATATAGCAGGAAAGACTAAAATGTATAAATTTGCAGTTGCCATCTGTTGTGTCTTCACCCTTGTAATTGTCGCTTTTCAGTCGTCATTGCTGAACCTTTGCATGATGAGAGCTAAACACCTGATTTAGAGGCACCACTTTAATGTACTTTAAAACAAATATGACATGTTTAAAGTTGTAAAGATTTAGTGTTTTGAGTATTATTTTTCTTCTACAGACTTCTTCTGGTGGCCTGCATAAACAAGACAAGCCTTTACCTGTTCCTCCAACTCATCGAGATCTTCCGCCTACTCCACCTGAGCGACACCCATCAGCCAGCATTGATTCTCGAATGCAGAGGCGGCCTTTACCAAGCACGCCAAGTGACCTCCTACCACGAGACAAGCCACCTCTTGTACCACCAAACCGACCTGGAGAAACCTGGCATATACGATCTCAGGCAGCTAAAACACCAATTCAGACTCTTAATTCTGGGGATAGATGGACAGGTCGAGAGTTATCCAACAGGCACTCATTGCCATTAGCATTGTCATCTCAGATGGATACTAGGACAGAGGCGGTTAGACATAGCAGCTCACTCGGGCTTGATAATACAGTGGTGAGAGCTCCAACAATGTCATTTCATTTAATTTTGTTAGAGTTGAATACGTTGCAGTGCAGATCTTTGGTTAACTTCAACAAAAGTTCTTAATTAACCATAGAAACCAGATGTTTGATCCGAGTTTCTGTTTAATGGTGAGGGTTGTAGGTTTTTGCTTAGACACTTGATCAGACAAGCAATAGCTAATGCTGTTCTAATTTACATCAGTGACTTAGGTTCAGAAACTCAAATTTAATCAAATATTATAAAACTCCATGGTTTTGAAGTGAAATTCAAGAAGGCAGCTCAGGATTTACAAGTGAGTTGGACAAAATCTGCAAGTGAGTGGATCAATGGCAGATGATATTTAAAATACTGCACTTCAAAACTGAAAATAAAATGACACAAATGCATCATGAGTGATGGTGAAATAACTAAGTTGAACATCTATTAAATATCACCATGGAAAAGATAATTATAGTTAGGGAAGGCTGTAAGGAAGGTGTTAAGAGATCCAGGAATTACAACCAAGATAAAGCAGCAGTCACTAAACTAGCATATGAGAATGCAAGTTAGTGAGAGATTGTCAAACTGTCTAGTACTCTTATCATGCTACATTCTGAGCACTATGTGCAATCACCAAAACACAAGGAAGACATTTAAGTGATAGATTCTCAGTGCCTAAGGCTGAGTTTGGACATTACCACCTCAAAAATGAGCATCAGGGAGATGTTCTCAGAGACATCAAATAGCAAGCTCTCCTCGAGCTTTTTTTGAAGGCTACTTATCCATTTTCTTGAACTCACCTTTTAGGTGATGCCATCATGTAGCAACAGTACCTTCCATACTATTGTTGACATAGGGGGTATCTGGACCTGCATCAACAGAATTAAAATAATTCACCAATATCTTCAATGACGTTCAGTTCACCATCAAACTTAAAGCCACATGCACAAGGAAAGCATTAATTTCCCAGACACCACAATATTTAAATTCTCTCCTCTCTCTCTCTGACCCCTTCTCCAGACCTCTCATATTTCTCCCTCCTGACACCTCTTGTGCCTCCCCTGACGTGCGGAGACACACGCACAACCTTATGCAGCTTGTACCTTGCTCATAGCCCTGCAGCAACCCCTTTGCCACTCCATGCTCTTTGAAGCTTGCTTCTTCACCAACCTTCCCTTGCAGCTTCCTTCTCCCCTCTCAAACACCTCGTAGCTTCCTGCCCCCTCCTTGGATTGCACACTTTTTGCACACTGCATTCCTCTTGCAGCTTCTCTTTATTTTTCCTCTTCTCTTGCATCCCTTTTGCAGCCTCCTCTCTGTTTTTCTCACTCCCTTCTCTTCTCCGCCCCCCCCTCCTCCCCCCCCCCCCCCCCCCCCCCCCCCCCCCCATCCCCATACACCGACATTTACACAGGCACACAGCACGCTGACACGCATACATATATATACGTGCTTTGAGTGCAACAAACAAAAATGGTTCCAACATAAGTTCCTTCCAGTATCAGCAAAAGGTTGCTCTTGCAAAACGTGTCCCCAACATGACTAAAGGCAGCTCTGAGCCCCAAAACCCCAGCTGCTGGCTGTCTATACCTGACTCTCAACCCTCACCTGATAAAAGCAACTCTTTCAGTGCCAGTGATAGTAGGAACTGCAGATGCTGGTGAATCCGAGACAACAAGGTGCAGAGCTGGATGAACACAGCAGGCCAAGCAGCATCATAGGAGCAGAAATGCTGACGTTTCAGGCCTAGACCCTTCATCAGAAAAGGTGGAGGGGAAGGGGGTTCTGAAATAAATTGGGAGAGAGTGGGAGGCAGATAGAAGATGGATAGAGGAGAGGATAGGTGGAGATAGGCGGATGCAGTATACCACATTGGCAGATGTGCAGGTGAACATCTGCTTGATGTGGAAAGTCTTCTTGGGGCCTGGGATGGGGGTGAGGGAGGAGTATGGGGGTAGGTGTAGCACTTCCTGCGGTTGCAGGGAGAAGTGCCAGGTGTGGTGGGGCTGGAGGGGAGTGTGGAGTGGACAAGGGAGTCACGGAGAGAGTGGTCCCTCCGGAAAGCAGATAAGGGTGGA